AATATTTTTACTATATGAATACTCTATTAAATTATATAATCTGCGTGTATTTGTGGTTGAGTGTCTTCCTTTTATGAATCCAGTTTGGTCAGGATGAATAATGAGAGGAATTATTTTCTCTAATCTTTTAGAGAGGACTTTACTAATTATTTTAACATCTACATTAATAAGAGAGATGGGGCGATAACTGGTAGGTAGTACTGGGTCTTTGCCTGGTTTTAATAGTAGACTAATGTTGGCTGAGTTCATATGTGTTGGAAACCTGCCATTTTCTTCTGACTCATGTAGCATTCTGTGAAATATTGGTTCCAGGATGTTCCAGAACTCTTTATAAAATTCTGCTGGATATCCATCTGGGCCTGGAGATTTCTTATTAGGCATGTTTTTAATGGCTTCACGGAGCTCATCTGATGTTAATGGTGAGTCTAGTTCTGAAGATTGACTACTGTCTAGTTTTGGAAGTATTACTCTCTCCAAGAATTGATTAATATCTTCATCTGTTGGGTTTATTTGTGGAGTATATAGAGTTTTATAGAAATCTCTAAAAACACTATTTACTTTTTCCTCGTCATAAGTTATGTTACCATTTGTGTCTTTAATACCATATATAGACGTTTTTTCTTTATTTAATTTGAGTTGATTAGCTAAAAAGCTACCGGATTTATTACTGTGTTCAAAATGTTCCAAGCGAAGTCTTTGTACTAAGAATTTGTTTTTTTTGTCAATACATTCATTTAGTTCTAATTTTATCTTGCGTAGTTTTGTCTGTGTTTCCTCTCCTTGTAAACTTTCTAATAATTTGATAGATTTCTCTAAATCCTCAATACGTTTATTTTCTTTTTTCTTTTTGTTTGTTGCGTAGGATATTATTTTCCCTCTCATAACTGTTTTCCCAGCCTCCCAGAGTGTACACGCTGATGTACCTGGCAAGTCATTAAACTCTAAATACGATGTCCATTCATTTTTAAAGTATTGTATAAATTCTTCATCCATAAGCAGTGAGGTATTTAATCTCCAGTTTATACTTTTTGGGATTTCTTTCTTATTATCTAAATTTAAAGTAACTGGTGCATGATCACTGACAGCAATAGGGTGTATCTTAGTGTCTGAAATGTTGGTCAGCAATGAGTTGCTGATTATAAAATAATCCAAACGAGAGTAAGAGTGATGCACATGTGAAAAGAAAGAATACTCTTTACTATTAGGGTGAAGAGACCGCCATGCATCGCAGAGTCCATAATCACTCATGTACTGTTTAACTACATTTATGGATTGCCAACTGCGTTGAGCTCCTACTGCATTCAGCCTGTCTATTTTGTTATCTAGACCAAAGTTAAGATCACCTCCCAGTACCAGCGAGCAATCCATGTGATTTGATAGAGTAGAAAAGAGATCATGAAAAAAAGCAGCATCGTCCACATTTGGCCCATATAAGCTAACAATACAATATTTTTGACTGAGTATGGATAATTTTAATATTATATATCTACCTTGCGGGTCTATAACTGTGTCTAATATTGTGAAGTTCACATTTTTATGTATTAATATTGCTACTCCTCTCTGTCTTGAGTTATAGCAGGCTGAGAATACATGAGGAAACTCAGGAGATTTTAGCTCATCCACAGTTGACGGTAATTTATGAATCTCTTGGAGTAATACAACATCTGCCTTTAATCTTTTAATCTGGCTAAAGATTCTATTTTTTTTATGTTGGCTACCGGCTCCATTAATATTCCATGTGACAAACCTTAAGATGCCCATATTTGTGCTTGTGAAAATATAATTAAACCACACCCATTATCACAAATATCAAAAATAGTAAAACACCCAGACAATAACATAATCCTTAATGATTGATTATTTATGATTTATAGATAAACTAAGTGCTGTTTTTGAAGGTAAATCATGCATGTATTCCTTTATGAGGTATTTGTATGTATGTATATGGATATATATAAGCCTTTGTGCCTGTGTGCTAATAATTATTGAGTCAGAAAAATAGAGACAAAAAAAATAAAGTGAGATGATAATAAACACAATAAACACATAAAGATAAAAGAAGAAAAAATAAAAAAAGAACCCCCTTACCACATTAAGTGTAATATGATGGCATCTTAGAAGGACAGCAATGAGGACGCAGAGCAGCGTGTCGCTGACCTGGAATCTTTTTAATTTGTCACTTCTGAAACACAATGATGGGGGGAGGGTGAAAAGGAAAGCAGGAGATTTTTCTGTCAGTCAGTTCCTGCTCTGTAATTTATAGTTCACAATGTTAAACATTTACGTCTCTTATTAAACTGACATAGACAATGGGTTGTTTGATTGATGGGTTAAATTACTTATCAATTATGATTAGTTATTGTAAATAACATATCATGCCAGTAATTTATATTTATGAATATACATACATTATTTTATTCATTTATGTGGGACAAAGAATAACAGTTGCAAGTGAAACAGACCAGTTTTTACCTCTTCATGTCATTTCAACGAATGAAATTAATATTATAATATTCTGGTTGTGCTGAAAATAATTTCCCCCCTGTTTTATTGTTGACTGTTGACTAAAAGACAAACCAATACAGACAAAATGAAAGGCCTTGTATATGTTGTTGGAATGCATATTGCCTGCCCCCTTTAATGCAAAAAGTATAGACTAAGTTTAGTTTTAACAACAGTTGTCTAAACTTCATTTATATTTCAGAGAACTACCTCATGGTCAGTTAAAACAAGTTTGTATTGTTTCTAGGATATTGTTCAAGGGTATGTTTTTCAATAAAATAATATTGGAATATTGAAGGTGCATTGTGACCTTATAACACCTGACAGTGTCGCTTATAAAACAAAATCGATATTGGCCAAAATCAGAATCGGCAGGTCTGACCATTTTAGAAATTGGTGATCAGCCAGTAAACTGCAATCGGTGCACCCCCATTAATAACTCAACTACTATTATGCCAATTTTTAGCTTAACGTCTGTATAATTGATTGAGTTGTAGCCATTGTTGTGTTGGCTAGTGTTGATTAGCTATGGCGGATATCTTGAATTAAACTGACTCCAAAGTAAATCAATTGTAAATGTATATCCAATTTCTTGAACTTTTCTTTAATAAATGTTTCATGTAATTTATCTGTTAACCAATCAATCTACGTTCCAACCCTCACCTACGGTCATGAACTCTGAGTAGTGATCAAAAGAACCAGCTAGCAGATACAAGTGGTCGAAATTAGTTTTCTCTGCAGGGTAGCTGGGCTCCCCCTTGGAGACATGGAGTAGAGCCATTGCTCCTCCACACTGAGGGTGCATTCACACCAGCCCTGTTGTCATGAACTCTAGCCTGTTTGCCTTGGAAGTCCGGTTCGTTTGGGGAGGTGTGAACGCATCATCGAACTCTGTCACGGAACAAAAAAGCGAACTCTGGTCCACCTAAAAAGCTAGGTCTTGGTCTGGTAGAAGAAAACTCTAGCGCGGTTTGAGTACAGTGTGAATGCAAGCAGACTGGGCACTGCTCCACAAGCAGGAAGTGGACTACAGTGCAGGGTAAACAAGCATGCATTTATCTTACCTCATATGGAGCTGTCAGCTGCCTTGTGTGAAAAACAACATTCTCCATGGTCTTCTGCCTCATTTTCCGCTCATGCTGAGTCCATTGTTGAAAAATGACAAAATAGAACTCCTAAAACCGCTAAAATTTGACGCCACTCTGTTTTTGTTTTTATTTCCAAAAGAAGAAGCGTCTTCTTCAGAGGTTTTTTTTTTTTTTTTGTGTTATTTCTTTCAGTAGTTCTTGGTGCAGCGCCACCACAGGCGAGTGGGGGAACAGGTTAGTTCAACAGGTTGGCTCGACTGCACAGTGCAGTGTGAATGCAAACGCATCAGCTCCAATGTAAACAAAATGTTATGAATTTTGGTCCCCAACCGAACCGAGTCTACCGGACTATCAGGTGTGAAAACAACCTGAGAGGAGCCAGTTGAGGTGGTTCGGCGGAGTCCTGCCTAGGGAGGTGTTTCGATCATGTTCAACTGGAAGGGGATTTCCCAGAAGATCCAGGGCATGCCATGAGACTGTCTCTTGGCTGGCCTGGGAACACCTTAGAGCCCTCCAAGAAAAGCTGGAAGTGTTTTTGTGGAAAGAGATGCCTAACCTTTGCCCCCGCAACCCGACACTGGAACAGGCAGAAGAGAATGGATGGACGGTTTCTGAAATGTGCTAATAGACAGGGTTAACTCCAAATAGTTAAAAGCAAAGTTGAAAATAAAGATCTAGCAAATTCTGTTGTTTCCAAGAGATTGTGATTCAATCTCCGCTCCTACCTCACCAAAATTTTAGCTCAATCTCTATAATTGACAGATTTATAGCCATTTTTAATAATTTAATTTTAAGGTCAGCTTGCTTCAGCAACCATCTTAAATCAGGGTGACTCCAAAAATTAATGAGTTGTAGGTGTGTATCCTCTGAAAACTTTTTAGAAGTTTATTAAAATTTGTTCAGTTGTACTGGGACGTTTTGCTATCAAACTGACACATTCGTATTCATTCATACTCATCTGCTCACAAAGACTCATGTTCGTGCTGCTGTTCGGCGTTTGTTTTTGTACTATTAAGTGTTTAGCGTATTTCTTAGTTCATATCTTAGCTTTTATTACTGTTTTTCTTTTACAATTTATACTTTTGTTGGATGTAACTGGGACCCTTTGTACACAGTTTCATTCCACCACATGCACCACATGAGATGCAAATGATAATAAAGAAAACTTTGACCTTGACGATCTATCACTCAAATACAAACATTTTTTTTTAATCGGTTTTAATCCAAGCAAATATTTCTCTGCACTGTTATTTTTAAATGTTGTGGCACAAAACTACCCTGGGCTTTTTTCAACTTGTGATGATCATCACCTTTTTAAAAAAAGAACAATTCAGTCTGTAATTGTTAGCCGTCTGCCTTACTTCCAGTCCACCTCTGTAACATCTGTCTCTTCCTGTTGTCCTCTGGCAGGCTGTAACAGGGAAGAGCTTTGGAGACAAGGACTTCCGCAGTGCACTGGAGAACGGCATCCTGTTTTGCGAGTAAGCATGTGCCATCACTTACTTTAGTGTCTGCTGCCTGACGTGGCAACAACACTATAAACACTCATAAGATTCAATAAATCTCTGCTCCTCCCTTCCCCCCATACAGGCTGCTGAGTGCAATCAAACCAGGGCTAGTCAAAAAGATTAACAGACTTCCCACTCCAATTGCCGGGCTGGTAAGGAGACACTGTGCAGTGTGACGTTCAGCTCATTAAAGCACCCTGTTCATCTGTGATAAACTGGGGGCCCCTGGTTTCTTCTAGGACAACCTGTCAGTCTTCCTGCGGGGCTGCGAGGAGTTGGGCCTGAAGGGCTCCCAGCTGTTTGACCCGGGAGATTTACAAGACACTTCAATATGTGCTAACCTCAGGTAAATAACGTCATGTGTGGTTATGTTGTTGTGCGACTTTGTATTTCAGTTTATGTCTAGTAAAGAGATATTGTTGTATAAATCACATACGTCTTTCTTTTAAGGGCCTCTGACTGCAGTCGCAAACTGAAAAATGTAAGTTGCATTTCTTCTCTTTTTTTCCCCTTTCATTACCTTTATTAGTAATATTTGTGGTATTGACATGCATGAACCAAACCATGGACCTGCATTTTTCAGGTGCTGAACACGGTGTTTTGGCTTGGGAAGGCTGCCAGCGGGTGTGCCTCCTATAGTGGTCCTACACTCAACCTCAGGGAGTTTGAAGGGCTTCTTGCTCTTATGAAGGTGGTGAGTGAACTTTTTTCAATCAGTTTAAGACGTGCACAGCTTTATGTGAAGATGCAGATGCTTGGATGAGACCGATTGTTGGTTGTAGCCTGCTAGTCTGTTAATATATCAAACTATTTGTGACAGTTATTGTGTGAATGATTATGAAGCATTCACACTGTCATCCATTTTTCTTCCATACGTTTTTCAGCACCTTTGTCGTTCCACAATTTTTGTGCTATTTCAAAAAATCATATATCAAAACGTTCAGCTCTTTCAGGACAACCTATGATTTTTGGTTTAGGTTAAACTTTAGCTTTTTGAAATAATTAGCCTTTTCTGACACTTTTGAAAATGAATTGAGCTCATTTTACATCCTTCAAATCTTTTACTGCTCCTTTCACATTTTGTTCTGGCTCAGCTTCTTTTAGCTTCCTTGTGCAAATTTAAACTTTTTTCAGCTAATTTCAGCCTATTTCAGCTGTTTTGTGATGCTTTTAGATTCTTTATGTTAGCTACAGCATTTTTGTGCTTCTTCTAACTCCTTTCTGCTAATTTCAGCTTGTTATGCTCCTTTCAGCTTAATTGTGCAAGTTTCAACTTTTTCTGATTATTTCAGCTATTACTTAGCTGTTTTTAAGATAATTTGAGCTTTTTGGCTAATTCCACATTTTTTGCACTTATTGCAAAATTTTTCAGCCTAATTCAGCAAAAATGTGCTCTCCACTTCCTTCTGGTAATGTAAGCTTCTTTCTGATTTTTAGCTACTTTTCAGCTGTTTTTTTTTCTTATTTAAGCCTTTTTCAGATAATATCCATTTTTTGTGCTCATTTCTGCTTCTTTCAGCCAAATTGGCAAACATGTTATTTTGCTTTCTTCTACTAATTTAAGTTTGTTTTAAGTTTTCAGCTAGCTTTTTAGCATTTGTAGCTAATTTCAGCTGTTTTGAGATAAATTCAAGTTTTTCATGTTAATTTCAGCTACTTTAAGCCTAATTAACTTCTTTATTCTAATTTCAGCTTGTTATGCTCCTTTCAGCTTTTTTCTGTTAGTTTCAGCTTTTCGGTGGTGGGTTCATGTGGATGTGTCTTTATATTACCATAATATGTCATAAACCATTGGGTAATCTGAATGAAAATTGCAGAAAGAAATCACTTGATGTACAGATACAAGTAATTAACTTTTGGAGTCCGCTCAATTCAAAATGACCACCACAGGTAACCAAACTTTAAAAAGAAACACAAACGTTGAAAAATCAGTCAATTTTCTCCAAAAAATGTTGATCTGGTTTGATCTGGTGTGGCATTATTCAGAGTTTGTGTAAAAAACGAACTGAAAGGAACAATGTTGGGGCTGTTAGGAAGAGGATGTAGACAGTGGTGTGGAGGAAGTGCAATAGTTGGATCAGTGAGTTTCCTGTCATTATTATGACGTTGGAGAGAACATGGATGAACCTGTTTACGCACCATTGCAGAAAATGCAAGCAGGGTATGGATTTGAACAGATTTGCCCTGTACAATACTTCCACTGTCTTTATGTGAAGTTCATATCAAAAAGTTTTTTTTAACACAAGGCAGTAATATAGTTATATAACTATAATCTGTTTTATAATAATAACAAAGACAATAAGTACTGATACTGATGATGTTTTTACAATTTCTGTACCTGACTGTGATGACCTATTGTGCATTATGTAGATCGATCCATCCATCCATCCATCCATCCATCCATCCATCCATCCATCCATCCATCCATCCATCCATCCATCCATCCATCCGATGGATGCTTTATTGTTCCCAAGGGGAAATTTGTCTTGCACATCGTGAACTAAACAAAGCTTCTTCCACAATTAAATACACTATAAACAATAACATTTTGTGAATGCCACAATAATATAAATAAAAATAAAACACCTGTTGCTCAGTAAAAACACATATTGCACGTTCCCACATACATTCCAGCAAGTAAACAAAACAACAAATCAGACCAGAGCATCAGCAGCATGACAAAATACTATATGCCTACTTTATTTAACATTCTGATTGATGTAGGGACAAATAAATTTTTAAATCTATAAAGTCTACAAGGTCTTCAGGTCTCTCTTGTAAATGAGTCCCCAAGGCTCAATGGGATTAACCTGTATAAATAAAGGTTAAATGGGGGAAAAAAAAAACAAGCAGGGATTCTAAACCGTTTGCCAGATGGTACCAGTTCATATTGTGAGTTGAGGATGTGAGCGGAGTCAGACAGCACCCTCCGAGCAAGTCTGAGGACAGACTCACTGCAGGGAGGGGTGATCGGTCCTTTCTATCACCTTCATTGCAGTTTGTACCATGCAACTAAGTTTAGATTTAAGTTGCACAGAGAGATTGCCACACCACGCTGACATTCCACACCTGATGATACTTTCCAGTACAGCCTGATAGAATAGAACCATAATGGGGTGGTCATCGCACCGTTGAACAAAAGACTGAACCTCATTAAAATAAGATGAGGAGTCCATGTCCTCCTGCAGCAAGCTGAGAATAACAGTATCGGCAGATAATTAAAAAAATATAATTCCCAGGGCAGCTGCTGATGCAATAATTTGTGTAAATGGTGAAGAGGACAGGAGAGGTAACACAACCCTGGGGAACCCCAGTACTGATGGACCTGGGCTCTGATAAGGTGTTATTGAATCTGACAAGCTGTGATCTGTTTGTTAAAAAAGAATGAAACCATTCAATAAGAAGAGGGTTAAGATTCATCTGCTGTAATGTGCCTACAAATGAGTAAAGTGGACATGTGGTGGACAAAAATAAGTGTCTGGACTAAACAATGGTGTTTTAGTGCCAAAGACACCATCTTAGCACCAACATAACTGGTTTGTTCCACTTTGGAATAAGCTGTTTGGGGGAAGAATCAATTTTGTGTTGTGTGTTTCCTTGACTGATGAAGCCTTCTGGATAGAAGGTGAAACGTTTCAGCAACAAAAAGAAACTGTCCAGATGACCTGACTGAAAATTGTTGAACCTTTGAAAGATCTTGAGAACATTTACAATCATTAAAAAAAAAAATGTTTAAAAGGAATATTGCTCATTCAACAGGCTACAGGAAAGTCTGACTTCTAGGAAGCAAAATAAGATTCTTTATGCCTTTCTTCTACATTTCACAATTTAAGACGTGTACTGTTTTGTGCCGTTTGTGCATGCAGGAGAGTGAGGAGAGTGGGGACAGTCCTCAGCAGCGCAGCGTCAGAGACAGTGGTTATGACTGCTGGGACTCTGAGCGGAGTGAATCTCTTTCTCCACCACAGCACACTCGGGACAACTCCCTGGACAGGTGAGACATCAATCGACCACACATGTGGCTGCACACTCACACTCAAAAGTCTTCATAAATAATCCTCGTCAACACAGAGTATGAACGAGTAACATCAGTTTGTAGCTCGACATCTCTTACATGTATTCTGGTGTGTGTTCACAGCCTGGATTCTTTTGGCTCTCGCTCACAGCAAAGTCCTTCTCCTGATGTAGTGAACCGAGGCAACAGTGATGGTTGGTTCTCAAATTTTATTTTTTTTTTTAAGAAATTTAAGACGGCTGTTTGCTGCTTCCAGTCTACTTTGTATACAGTTTCTTTCTTATTGAACAAAGGTGAAGTTTGTGGAAATGTTCAGCTCAAGTTTTGAAAAGAAAAGTACAAAAGGGTTGAGCTATCCCTTTAAATAGAAAACTATTCATCCGTAAATAGTTGGACTGCTGTTCTTCAGCATGTTGAGGTTTTAACCTTGGTGTAAGGTGACCGATCTGAGTGGCTGTGAACAACAGCTGAACATTACGGACTGTGTGTGTGTGTGCGTGCACTAGCATGTTTCTAGTTTGTCTGACCCAAAATGCACGAGGCCAACATTTTTCCCATTTAAATTTAGTGTGTGTGTGTGTGTGTTGGTTGTGTTTTACTCAAGGCACCAATCATATCCTGTTTGTGCCGTTTTTTTACTGAGAATATTATTTATACACATCAAAGTTTTTAAATGAACAATGCTGTAGAGGTAGGAAAAGCTTCGTTTCCCATTGTCCTCTGCAGGTAAAGAAGGTGAGCCACTTTAAACCAGTGCTACGAACAATTATTTTAATCATCTTAGTCTGCTCGTGAGTTAAGCATTTAATCACTCAGCTGATATTTTCATGTTTTGTCATTATAGAAGGTAGGAATGTGATGCGAGTCCAATTTGATTATTATGCTCCTCTTCCCTTAAAGGCTCGACTTGATGGAACAGTAATTCTAGTTTTTAAGTAGCAAATTTTCAAGAAACTAAAGAACTTGAATTTCCTGCGAAAATGCTGGTGAAGATTCTCAGTCATCCAGGACATGATAAATTCAAAAACGTTCAAGACGAAAACAACTGGACTTTATTTGTAATAATAATATATATAAGATGGATAAGGATAAGGGACACTCATTTGAGGACCAAAATGTGGACATTTTGGACCGAGAACACAGATGGTTTGAGAGGGGGGTGAAGGAAGCAATTTATGTTAAAAGAGAGAAACCATCTCTAAACAGAGGAGGAGGTCTCAGATTTCCACTTTCAAAAACATATAATGCAAATTTAAGACTGATTCCCAACCAGTTTCACACCTATCAGATGGGACCAGAGGAGCCTCATCTGTGAATTAGAGTAACAAAGACCTTAAGAAACCCCTACTGTTAAGGTGTGAGTTGTGAGGTGTGATATGTCAATCTGCATATGTATATATATCTTATCTCGGCTTTATAACTTGAACCCCATACATGAAATTAGTAAAAATTGCTGAAAAATAGCTGAAAAGGCAGACAGAAGCTTAAACTACCAGAAGGAAGTGGAAGGAGCTGAAATTAGCTAAAATATGTGGAATTAGCTGAAAAAGCTAAATTTAATACAAAACAGCTAAAAAGTAGCTGAAATAGAAGAAAAGGCTGAACCTAGCAGAAAAAAAGCTGACAGGAGCATAGCAAGCTTAAATGAGCAGAAATAAGTTAATTAAGTTGAAAGTAGTCAAAATTACTGTACCACAAAAAATTTGAATTTATCTGAAAACAGCTTAAATTAGCTAAAAATGCTAAAAAAAAAAAAAAAAAAAAAAAAACCTAGCTGAAAAAGTAGAACAAGCTTAAATTAGCTGAAGAAAGCAGAGAAAACTCATGTTTGCCCAATTACATAGGCTGAAAGAAGCAGACATAAATCGGGGGGGGGGGGGGGGGGGGTGAGAAAAAAATAAATATTTCAAAAAGCTAAAGTTGCATCAATACCAAAAGTCACAGCAGGATTTTCCTGAAAAAGCTGAACGTTTTGATTTATGATTTCTTGAAATAGCTTGAAAACTGCAGGAGGAAAATCACGCCAAAAAACGTATGGAAGAAAAATGGATCACAATAGTGTGAATGCTTCATAAACATTCGCACAATAAAACAAATATGTGCATAGTTTTATTTAAAAAACTGGAAACATTTACAAAATATATATTACCATGTAACATGTCTGAATAGCTTTTCTGCATCGTGCCAATCGATGCAACTTGCACAAGCGATTTCAGTCATTATCTTCCACTCCCCTTTAGTTTGAAAGACAAGTGTTTATAGGTACATTTGTTAATTGGGTCTGGTAGATTACACAACCTGGTAGGAAGCACTGTGCCAATTAATCTCTTTCTCTGGATGTCTGTTGATTCACAAATAAACATTATTCAGGGACCTTTCACTTGGCCAGACATAGTTTCTACCCCTCCATGAAAAAAGGGTTTTCCGTTTGGTTTATTATGTATAAAATGCCAAATCTTTAATATACTGGTCCATGTTGATCAACAGAACTTTGCTTTCATGCTCTTTTTATTAAAACTCAGGTTCTTCACACTAGGTAAGCTGGAGTTGGTACAATGCAAGCTTAATCAGTTTTCTCTTTTAAAGTTGTCTGCTTCTATTTTTTAGTCCATGTTTGTTTGTTTTTGTGCAGCACTTTGCTTTTATTATAAATTTGCTATAATTAAACTGAAATGAATGTGTTTGGGATCATAATGTGTGTGCACGTTTTGCTTTCAAATGAGTTTTTCCTATAGTTTAATTCAGACTGCACGTTAAAGGCGTGTATAACATTAATCCTGTATTCTTGTAGTGATTTGAAATACATGTTTTTCTTATAAATAACTCTGATGTTCCCTGTTTGATGCCCAGGGCGATGCAGTGACTCAGAGGCTGATGCATCCAGCAGGAAGCCAGATGTGAGGAAGGATGACATGTTGGCCAGAAGGACTGCCAGCAGTGAATCGAGATGCTCCATCCCTTTTAACCAGTTTCTTCCTAACCGAACCAACGCCAACTCCTACATCTCTGTTCCGCGGCGAAAACAGCACACAGAAGAGATCGAGCAAAGGAGGTAAACATCAAAACATAATTAATGTCAAATTGTGGGGATTTTTCCTTAACAATGGAAACGAAGGCTAAAAAGGTAAAGCAACAGGTAAACGATAAGTCTTCTTCCGTAATCTTTCCCTGCCGTTACACACCATTCCCCAGTCACCCTCGAACTGCTCAAGAGCAAAGCAAAAGAAGTGGACTGCACCACAAAACACCCAAGAGCGTCACTTGGGCGCCTGAGAGCCATGGTGAAAAAGTGAAGCAGGTAGAGGACATGGAAGTGTTGGAACAGAGGAGACTGCAGAAGTTGGAAAAGGCAGGAATTAAAGTACTTCCTGCTGCCGTTCGCTACATCAGGTCAGGGTGGACGGGCATGAGAGCTGCTGCTGCTGCTGTGGTGGTCAACTGCTTTTTTGTACTCGCTAACAAGACGTCGTGTTGGAAAATTTGTGGTTTGACGATGTTGGCTTTTGGTTGTGTGAGGCTCGTTTATGATGAAGTGTGTGTTATACCTTACATAACTAAAAGAGATGGGTAGTTGTAGTGCAGTAGAGGTTGTGGTGGACATGAATGGCTTAGTGTTGCTTAAGTCCCTTGTTTGATGGACCTAAAGATTCAACTGAATGCAAACTAACCAACAATATTGGCTAACAACATGCACATTGCTGCTTCTGGTAAATAAATGATGCCATGGACATGTGGTGCTTTCTAAAAAAAAAATCACTTTGCCGCATCGTCTCATCTACAACTCCAGCCCCCCCATATCCGAGGAAGAAGAAGTGAAGCCAGCATCCCCGAGCGTTGTCCTTCGCTCGGAAAACGACTTTTTAAGTTCTCGTAAATTTGCGTGGGACTCGCCGTCTGACGGGGAGGAGGAAACCGAGAAACGGACCGTTCCAGATCTTCTTAAGGACGACCTGGCGTCGCGACGAGTCCATCACGCTCCCGTCGTTTCCAAGGTTCATCAGTTTCTTCCTCCTGTTTGTACCAACAAAGACCGTGAGCGCTGGGAGGACATCAGACGAGCCTCGCAACGAACTCTGCAGGAGAAGGACTTCAGGTTAGCTGTGTGCAAAGGTGTTTTTAATTCTATTTCCTCGTTCGTGTCTAAAATTCTAATTTTCCTGCCTTTTTTCCCCGTGGCTGGCGTTGTCACTTGTGGGTTGGCATGGGTAATGTATGCCACATGATGCCTCTCCGGTGGCTCGGTGATTGGACAGTGACAAGGAAGCGGTCCTTGACATCATAACTCGCAAAGGTAATCTCTTAAAGGAGGAGGAGGGAGAAGAGGGAAAGGATAAGGTGGTGCCCAATAAGCAAAAGGATGATCTGGCTCGTAGGCGGGCTCAGAGCGCAAAGCTCCCTCACAAGGATGGACCAGTGAGCTTTGTTTCATCCTCCATGAGCCCGGCTGACATGCAGAAGTGGGAGAGACTCAAGATGACTGAACCAAGGTGCCCAAAACACATTCATTCTAATCAAACGTGGTAAATGCTGTTAAATGTTGCTGCAGCTGATGTGTGTGTCTGTAGATTTAATGCAATGGTGGCTGGTGATATCCTCAGAAAATCTTCGTTAAATGAACACACTGGTTGAAATATTTCGCCCACATTTTTTTTTTTTCTTGCTCTCACTCAAGAATATAAATCAGTGAAATGACAAGTATGTCTATCAGATTAACTAAAGCCATTCACAGGGCTGGTCTGTTATGAAAAGCATTAAGACTAATGATTTATTTTGGTCCTTTTGGGGATTGAATATAAAATGGGAGGCTAGTGAAAGACTAATTATACAGAGAACCAGTCAGAAACACAAATATGTGAAACAATAGAAACAAAGTTTCATATATTACACATTTAATCATGAGGTGTGGTCAGCAGATTTAATTTCCTGTGGCTACAATTCAGATCATTTTCCACTTTTTGTACCAAGTAAGCTAAGGTGTTGCAACTCGCACTCTTCAAGAACACTAGTGTTGCGTATTGATTACTTCAGCTGACGTTTATATTTCTGACGCTCGCTACGGAGAACATGCTTTTCCCCCTTTTCATGAATTAGATCCAACATCTGACTTACAGTGACTTTTTTATTTTTATTTTACAATCATTAACAATAAACTGAAATGAATAATTCCAATCAGAACGACGAACAGGAGCAGTCCATCTGAAAACATAACCTGAAAAAGTCCCACTCATTTCTGTCTCCACATTACCCAGCACCCCCTGCAGCTCAATAAAAAAAATGTGCTCAATGTCTCTACTGTAGTGCGTTTAGGAAAACATGTAATTTCAATCGTTCATACTGAAAATTAACCATAACCCACAGCACTTACATCTGTAAAATTTCATCATGTAATAAAGCCAGAATACAACTGTAATATTGAAAATTATCACCAAAATGGGACATTTAACCTTCTTTTTTATTTTTTTTTAGAGCAACTACAATTTCAGTGTGGATTTTTGAAATTACACGCTGATGGGGGGTCTGGGGGTTCTCCTCCACAAAACTTCAAATAAATTAGATGCCATTTCCTGCATTCTGGTGTATTTTAACGGGTTGTTTAACATCATACTTTTACGTACATAAGAAAAAACTTGATTCAGTAACTATTTTAGAGTTAACGACACAACAAGAAGTAGCGCTATGCTAGCGGCGTGCAATACAGACGCGCTAGCTAAGATGCTACAGACTTAGCGCTCTGTTTTACATTACACAGCCTAATAAACACTTTGTACAAAATCGGTTTAGTGTTAACTGATCATAACAAAGAAAGACATCCCGAAGTTACAACATATATCTACATACAAAACACACACAACCAAGCACAACTAGCTTTAAGCATTAACCTTTAATTTAACCATTAAGCATACAATGTTCAGGCTGCTACACCGTATTATATTACATCATTATTGTTTAGCGTATACTGCATCTTAGATCCTTGTATACTGTTGCTTTTTTATCATTTATTTTTTGCTATTTTGGGTGTAACAGGGACCTTGAGTACACAGTTTTGTTCCTCCTCATGTACCACATGTGATACAAATGACAATAAAGAACCTTGAATCTTGAACAATGTAATTATGACAAAAATGGACGCTTTACTTACAGTTACCTTTGTACAGACGAACACGTGGTACTTCCTGTTTATCACTTGTATTCAGCTGCTCATGAGGTCAGCCACAGGGATTTATCATCTTTTACATTTTTCCAGACTCAGTTTAGGTTTTGAAAATGGAACAAACTGTATTTCACCCTCTAAAGCAGGATATTCAACTAAACTGCTCAGGGGGCCAAAGTTACTGAAAGCAGCTCAGAGGTCGGACATCAGTATTAAAATGATCCGTTACCTTTTCAATTTGTTTATTTTGTTGCATTGAATCATAAATGCAATGAACAGAACCCAGAACCACCCAAAAATATATATATTTTGTTTTCTTTATTTTTCAGGGGTGCTAGGGGTGCTTGAGCACCCCCCAAACGAGGCTAAAATCACCACTGCACTCCAATGTCCCCAAATGTCTTAACTTCATTGTAGCCTTCAGAGATGTGCTGAGCTGACTTCATCAGATTAACTAATCCAGTTTTGATTATGTTTTTTTTTCATCGTGAAATAAAACAGGCAGCTCAGATAATACAATTTATTCATTTTCACCTATTAGAAAAATGATCATCCACAAATAGTGCTGCTAAAGGTCCTTTTCAAAAAATCTTTCTCTACATTTTATTTTCTCTCAGTTCATTCTGGGGTTCATCTTCCTGTTTGGAATTAAAATCAAGGTTCTTTATTGTCATTCGCATCACCTGTGGTACATGAGGTGGAATGAAATTGTGTACTCAAGGCCCCAGTTACACCAAAAATAGCAAAAATATAACGTCTAAAAAGCAACAGTATATAAAGATCTAAGATATATGCTAAATAATAATAATATAATATGGTGTATTAAACAGCAGCTTGAACATGAGTCTGTCTGTAAGAAATCAGCAGTGTGGATAATCAGCAGCACAGATTGTTCTTAAAAAAAAATCACCCTGAAAAAGGCGATGCTAACAAGCTAGCCATGTCGCTCTGACTGAGCTAAAGCCTTCTCTCGAGACAGAGAAGTCGTAACCAGCGAGAAAGCACCTTTAAACATGTTTCTTGCCGGAGACTCAAATTTCAAAGAATCTGATTGGATAACTGTATTTACATGGATTAATTTCCAATGACTCAATAAAAATGGTACAAAATAATTAATTGAACGTATGAGTTCTTGTTCTCAGATGCTTGTTTGTTGTCCTTGTTATTGTGCTATTAGTCGACTTAATTCTCGTGACTGAATGAGAGCAGGGATTGGCTGTTGTGTGTGTGTGTGTGTGTGTGCGTGTGTGTGTGTGAATAAAATAGACAAAAAAGAGGCAACTGTTGTCTGTGAGCACTGCTGCAGCTTTGTGTTTCTGGCTGTGCTGATGTCATTGGGACATGAGGAACAGGATAAAGAGTTTCTTGTGTTCTCAGAGGAGCAGCAGTGAGTAGGAAAATGTGGCCACCTTCAGTATCGTTGATAAAAAGAGAAGTGTCTTGTGTTTTGACGTGTCCTTCTGTCGATTCACACTTCCTGTTTTACTCATTGTTTCATCCTCATCCTTTTGTTTTCATAATCTGATCTTCTTTCTCATGATTTATTTTCCACCCTGTTTCTTTGTGCTCTTTCACTGGCTGTGCGTGTGTTTGCTTGTGGGCCTGTTTTCATTTGCGAGGCTGGGTTTGCAGTGAGGATAAGCCCGTCTCTGTGTGTCAGGCTTGTCTGCAGAGAAATTTTAGGAGCCCTTTCAGCGGAGCAGCTCGACGAGGTTACAGCAAAGTTGTGACCTTTGGGGGCGTGACTGAGATCGTGCAGCCTGTAGACAAAGTCACGTCAAGTGAATGGGAGGAGACAGAGTTGCTTAGACGACTCCTTTCCAAGGCAACAGTAGCCATGCCTACTATTGGCCTGGGCTCCCAGCTTTCTGAGCGGGGACACAGGTACGCACGAGGCCAAAAAGACAACTTCCAGCAGTGGCTCCATTCCAACGCTGCCTGCATCAGTCTGGACTGCACCAGGGAACAATAGGGCCCTTTTCTGTTGCATTACGTATTGCGTTACAGTAGTCCCTCGACTATTGCGGGGGTTACGTTCCAGACACCCCCGCAATAAGTGAAAACCTGCAAAATAGAAACGTTATATTTATTTTATTTAATTTTTTTGACATTTACGTTAAATTGACATACCATATTTTTCGGACTATAAGGCGCAAGATCGATGAACGGGTTTGTTTTCATGCTGTGGCTGAGTGATTAGAGCAGTTGTCCTCCGATGCAAGAGTTGGGGGTTTGACTCCCAACAGCTGTCATGTGCCAAAGTGTCCCTAGGCAAGACACTGAACCCCTCATTGGCTTCGATGTGTGTCCCATCAGTGCATGGATGTGATAAATCACTGATTAGCCTCTTTAGAATGATTTGTTCAATTAGCTTTCTAGAGATCTAGTAGAGTGCTGTATGAATGGGTAAATGAGGCACAGGTTGTAGTGTAAAGAGCTTTGAGTATCTTAATAAGATAGAAAGGTGCAATATAAGTACAGTGCATTTACATAAGGCGTACCGGATTATGAGGAGCGTTAAAACATTTTGACAGATTTTTGAGCTCCATGTACCACATAAAATCAGTTCGAGGTCAGTAAGCACAACCAGAATTAATACTTAAGGCGCACAGGATTATAAGGCTCACTGTTGATTTTTGAGGAAATTAACGGATTTTAAGTGCGCCTTATAATCTGAAAAATATGGTAGATTTCTGAGTTGAAACAACATACCAGAGAACAATAAAGTACATGCTCAATAATCCAGGTATAAAATCCAACATTTTTCAGTCAGGTCATCTGGACTGTTTCTTTTTTTTTTTGTGCTGAAACGTTTCACCTTCGATCCGGAAGTCTTCATCAGTCAAGGGAACCAGAGAACAGTTCAGTCAACTAAAAAATTTAGATCAACTGAACTAAAGCAAAAGTTTATTTAGCAAGAGTTTATTAATCAAGATAAGTTGATAATGTTTATTCGCTCAACTTGAAGTTTTAAGTTGAGTTAGTAGTGAACAGCTGCTCTGTTCCAGTTCTGCAGACCTACCCTGCAGCGATGAAGCCCACCGTGTTCTACAATCTTAAATCTACGTCATTTTATTTCAAAATTTTACTCACCAGCTCTGCAGAACACAGTGGCTCTGTTCCGGTCTGGCTCGGTTCTGCAGACCTACCCTGCTGGACCTACCCTGCCAGTTCTGGTCTGGTTCTGGTCGCCTCTCTGTAGCCCTTGAGCATCAAAACGCATTTTGGAGAGAACCGGACCTTCGGATGGCCAGTACAGGGCCACAATGTGGTACAGATCGAGCCCAAATCCATACGGGGGAAGTCCCGGTGGGCTCCGGCGTGAACGCCGGACCTCTGGGCGGTGCCTCCCCGCTTGGGAGGCCTCGTGGGTCGGCAGGTGGCACTCAGATTGACCGATAAGATTGGAGGTCCGGTTCTAGTCCGGTTCCTAGTCAGTACCATGTGGCTCTCTGCATCCACTGGGCGCCGAAGTCACTATGAATAAGGACCAAACTTTTTCCGATGGGATCAAAACTTTCCTCCATTTCAGCAGAAGTCAACAGAACTTCTGGGTGGTGCACTGTTGGCTTCTGGGATATGTAGTCCTTTTGAGTGGCGATGAGAGAAAACTACAAAATGGAGACGCTTGTCCAAAGTATTTTTCCATTAACTTTTTACTGTATCCCGTACCATCCCAATCACATGAGTAATACTAAAGTTGACAGTCATGTGTTGTGTACAATTTTTTTTTCTTGTTTAAAATCTTACTTTGAAAAACTGCAAAAGAGCGAGTCTGCAAAAGTCAAATCGCAAAGTAGCGAGGGACTACTGTATTTAAACTGCTCGTTGCTTTCATTGTTAAGCTTCAGTAGTCACAGTTTGATTTATTATTCTATGATTCACTCGTGTGAAATTGCTTGTTTTGCTTGTAGTTTTGATAAGTGATGCAGAAATGTATGCATACACGCTGCGTGACAAAAAGAGCTTGATAAATCAGGCAGCTGAAAAGATCTCTCTGATGATATATTAATATTTACACATGTCCAAGTAACACCAGGTGTAAAGAAGGATAAAATATTGGTTAACACATTTCAAATGCATTTTCCCATGATGAGTCAATCAAAGGGCTGTAGCAATAAAATGTTTAGCTTGGAACATATTTCTCACAACCACATTTAGACTTATTCAAATAGTTGTAAATATTTTAGCTGAAATGAACAACTTCACATAGTTTTTTTATACATATCTGTCCTGTAGTATCAAGTTGAAGAGACATATTTGTGTTGCTTTCTTTAGAGATGTAAAACATCCTCACAGTGTTTATCAAAAACGTCCAAACATAATAATAAGCTCGCTTTATTCCACTTGAGATGAAGTAAGAAATGCATCATTTCTGCATTTTTATGAGTGGTTTGGCTTTTTCTAGCCCTGTAATATTTTAGATTTTTTTTTTGATTTTATAGGAGTGTAATTAAATTACATCAAAGTTCATCGTAAAAAAAATCCAACAAAGTTAAGTCACGTCCTCTGGACGGTTTATTTGTGTTGAAACGTTTCGTCTTTCATCCAAAGGACTTCATCAGTCCGAGGAGCCACAACAAACTCAGTCCCACAAGCAGCACGCTCACATAGTGGGCCAACCAGTTTGATGCCGATAAGGATTTGGATTATTGAGCATGAACTTTGATGTTTTGAACCACTTTGGCCATGGCTGCCTCAGAAAAGTCGACGGGGGAGAGGGCTGACTCCAGAAACCATCTTATCACCATCAAACTGGTTGGTCCACTATGTGAGTGTGCTGCTTGTGGGACCGAGTTTGTTGTGGCTCCTCGGACTGATGAAGTCCTTTGGATGAAAGACAAAACGTTTCAACACAAAGAAACCGTCAAGAGGACCTGACTGAACTTTGTTGGAATTTAATTATTATTATTTTTTTATATTTCTTTCCAGTCTCTTTTATAATCTGGTGGCTTGTTTTATTTGTTTATTTTATGTTTTGCATGCTTATGCCTGGATTTAATAACTATAGTTGCAACAATTAATGAGCGTTGCACAAATCAAAGTTACAACTCACAGATTTTGCTACGTTTCTACCTTCATACATCAGTTACTCATCTCTCGCTGTGGTTTCTGCTTTATGCGGACGTCAGCAGCCTCATAGATGAAGCAGGTCCTAGTCAAAGTTCCTCTCCCTCTGTGGACCTCCAGCCCTGGACCCTCAAGGCCCCTGCTTCTGTCGCTGAGCTTGATGCCCGTCTCACTCAGTATGAACAGAGAATAGGAACAGAGGAGGAAGAGGAGGAGGAGGAGAGAATTCCAGATCTTCAGAAAGATGACATGATGGCAAGGAGGACAGGAGTTTTCCAAAAACAAACATCTGCTGTTGTGAGTCCCAACCGTTTCCTGCCTCTGCCCGGTTCAAAGCGTTGCACACAGGGAGAGAGCCCAGGTGCTGCTCCATGTAGCACAAACGACGTGCAGGCTGAGAGAAACAAGGTGCCGAGTGTCAGGTGAGCTGAGGTTAACACAAGCTCAGGGTTAGGTTCTTCTTCAAGGGAACATTCCTTTTGGTGTTTAGTCATTTCAGTTACAGACTTTTCTGCTTTCATCTGCAAACAAGAGCTCTCAGGGAAACACTTCAGCAACCTGAGTTGACAGAGATCCGAGCAACACCTCACACGGAAGACGAAAAAGAGGACGGCGAGGACGAGTATGGTGAAAATGAGCCCGTGCCTGACCTGGAGAAAGATGACATGATGGCTCGAAGGACCAGAAGCTTCCAAAAAGCAAGTGAGGTCAGAGCAAATCAGTGCTTCAGTCGGTTCCTGCCTGTACCTGGGTCAGTCAAATCCGACATAAACCCAGAGTCTGCAGCGCCGCAGCCCCGCAGCTGGTCCAGAGCCAGCGCCAACAGAGACAGGTATTTACTGTGCTCTAACGACGGCGGGTTGTGACGCTGGACAGCAACTGCAGCTAACAAAGCAGAGCTTTACTGGGAGTGATGAAGCTTTCATTGTGAAATACTAACATCAGCTGGTTTTACTGGTCGTTTTAGTGGTGTGTATTCTTTTGGATTCCTGCTGGCATGTTTATTTATTGATTTATTTCTTTAAAAGGACCAGTTGCCTTGAATTTATTCTTTTATTGTCAGAGTCTTGCTTCTCTGAGCTCATGATTGACTTAGTTTTTGCTTTGTTTGGACTGATTTGTTATTCCCTCCTAATGTTTAAGACTAACTTCGGCTGTGTTCGACCATATTTTAGTTGTTGAGTTTGAAACTACTGTGTTATTTTAGTGTTTTGAATGGGGAGGGTTCACAAACAAGCTGCTGCACTTTTTTAAGTAAAACTCCTCCGGGTTAATTCTCTCTAATTCTATTTAAGAACACTTTTCCTCTTAAAAACTAATTATTCATTTATTATCTCAATTTTATGTGCAGAATTATATGATTTTGTTTTCAATCTATGGTAAAGAAATGCCACTAATAAACTAATTCAAACTAAGATTGTATAAATATTCCCCACGTATGTTGACTTGCCTGAGGATGAAGTTCACAATTTGAACTAGAGAAACTGCATTTCCTGTGAAAAAGCAGTGTGAATGCTTATTGCTGAAGAACTTGATGAAAAACAGCTGAAATTAGCTAAAAAATCACATGCTTAATTGTAGCTGAAATGAAAGAACAAGCCTTAATTAGCAGACGAAAGCAGAAAGAACACATTTTTGCTGAATTAGTTATGAATGAACTGAAATTAGCACAAAAATTAGCTTAAAAAAAGCTGAAATTAGCTGAAAAGGCAGAAGAAAAGCTTAAACTACCAGAAGGAAGTGGAAAGAGCTGAAATAAGCTTACAAATGTGGAATTGGCTTGAAAGCCTAAAATTTGCATAAAACCTGCTAAATAGTAGCTGAATTAGAAACAGCTGACACTAGCAGAAAAAAAGCTTAAAGGTGCAAAACGAGCTGAAAATAGCATAAAGAAGTTAATTAGGTTGAAAGTTGCAAAAATTAACATGAAAAACTTGAATTTATCTGAAAACTGATGAAATTTGCTTAAAAAAAAAAAGCTAAAAAGCTAGCTGAAATTTTTGCACATGCTTAAAATAGCAGAAGAAAGCAGAAAGAACATGTTTGCCCAACTAGGCTTAAAGAAGCAGAAATGAGCACAAAGAAGTGGAAATTATCTGAAACAAGCCGAAATTAGGAAGAAAAAAAAACTGCAGAAAAGCAGCAAAAAAATCAGAAAGAAGCTGAAATTACCAGAAGGGAATGGAAAGAGCACATTATTGCTAAATTAGAATTTAAAATGTTGAAATGAGTGCAAAAAAATGTGAAATTAGCTGAAAAAGTTAAAATTAGCATAAAACAACAAAATAATAGCTGAAATAGCAGAAAAAGATGAAACTTGCATAAATAAGCTGAAAAGAGCATACATAACAAGCTGAGATTAGCAAAAAGAATCTGAAAGGATCACAAAACAGATGAAAAACAGCTGAAATTAGCTAAAAGAATCTGAAAGGATCACAAAACAGATGAAAAAACAGCTGAAATTAGCTGGAAAAAAGTTTAAATTTTCAGAAGGAAGCTGAAAGAAGCTGAAGCAGAACAAAACGTGAAAGGAGCAGTAAAATGTTGTAAACAGATCTAAAGATTTGAAGGATGGAAAATGAGCTCAATTCATTTTATATGAGGAAAAAAAGTGGCAGAAAAGGCTAAATATTTTAAAAAGCTAAAGTTGCACCAATACCAAAAGTCATAGCAGGATTGTTCTGAAAGAGCTGCATGTTTTGATTTATGATTTGTTGAAATGGCACAAAAACAGTGGAACGAGAAAGATGCTGAAAAACGTACAGAAGAAAAATGGATCAGCACAGTGCGAATGCTTCTTGAACATTCAGTTCAGTGCGGCCTGTATCAAATAATCCAGGTCATGCAGTAAAGCAGTTGAATGCTGCCTCTGTTTTTTCATTAGTTTTCTAGAACATTACAAGAAGTTTAGGGTGTTCTTTTTGAAGTTTGTGAGGGCTGAAGTAACTTTGAGCTGAAACAATAAAGAACTGAGTTGATTTAAAAGAAATTCTGACAGCGTTTCAGGTGAAGAAATCCTTAATGTTAAAACTACAAATCATTACCGTAGCTCAGAACTTTATCATAATTTCTGAATGATCATTTAGTGGTCTAGTCTGGATTGGAACTTTACCACTTTGCTTCACTTTCGATGCTTTTAAAAATATGTTTTGCCTCTGCTGCAAACACTAAGAACTCTTGTGCATAACTTATTAAGCACCACACAACAGAAAGGTGCAGTTAGCAGCTTGATTAACAGACTGAGGCATTAAACTGTGCAGGGAACAGATGTTTACCTCCAGAGATTGTAGAAAACAAAACAAAGACAACACAAACTGAATGTTCACTAAAGAAACTGAAGAAACATCACTAGTTAATACATGTAGTTAATACTGGCGTTTAATGATTACAATCACTGCAGCCTATAGGTTCACATTTAACTCACTGGATGGATGGATGGATGGATGGATGGATGGATAGATGGATGGATGTATGGATGTATGGATGGATGTATGGATGGATGGATGGATGGATAGATAGATGGATAGATGCTTGCTTTCTCTTTTTGTCTCTTTCTCTCTTTCTTTGTCTTTTCTCTCCTCTTTCTTCTTTCTCTTTATTGTTCCCTCTTTCTCCCTTTTTTCTTTTTCTCTCTCTTTCTTGTATGGAGGACAGAATGTGACAAAATAAAATAAATACATACATAACAATTAAATGTATAATTGAATTATTAAATACATCATTAAATCGTTAAATAATGAAATGTACCTTTTAAATTATTTATTTTACAAATATTTAATAGATTAATTAATTAATTAATTAATCCCGGGGTGAAATTTGAGGGAACGGATAAAAAATGGAGACTTGCAAAAAAAGCTATCATTATTATTTTTTAAATTATTTCATTCAAAACTAACCACACTGTTATTATTTTCTAAACTTTTGATGTGCCCAAACAAAATTCAGTTTCCTGCTACTGAACGGGGTCAGGTATATTTCTGATGCAGCATGAATTTGCTTTAGAAATCAGTGACTTGATTCAGAAAGTCATGTTAATCCTCTATGATGCAGCTTTGATTTAAGCATATTTCTGGTTAATCCGGGCCTTGTCATTGGGCCGTTGTTTCAGCAGCGTTGTTACCATGGCAGCAGAGCATCACTCTCCACCCCCTAAAGTCTTGTCCAGCCCCACGTGTCCCGTGCTAAGTGCGAGGCAGGAGGAGGAAGAGCGAGAAAAGGGAGAAACGATGAAGGTCGCTGACCTCACTGTCAGCGGAGTCTCTGAACCCCCCTGCTCTGCTCCACTCGTTTCTCCGCCCAGGCCTCTTCCTGCTCAGATCTGTAGGGTGGAGGCAAAGCTGGACAGTCGGAGAGTAAAGGAGAAAACTGAGAGGGAGGCGAGAACAGAGGATGTGAATGTGAAGCCACAAAAGAAACCCTTTTGGCTGGAGGACGATCTACCTCCAATGATGTGAGATAAATGTTATAAATGTTGAATATACTGCACATCTGTCTTTCAGCCACTCCCAATGTTTTCTTCATAACTATAGTATAACTGGTAATATTTAAGAGCTAGACGTTTTTCTGTGCTGATTGCATCTTTGTGCTCAAAGCTTTGAATTGAGGCCTCTGTCATTCATCTCCACTCTGCTGCTGTTTTAGGGTGAGCCGACGAGTTGCTTTTCAGGTAGACGACGAGTAAGTGTTTATAAGTTCATCTGAGTGAGGTTCTGCATGAGAACGCATGCATGCCGTGCACGCCGCATCTTAAACGGCCTGTCCAAAATTACAGATACTAGATACAGATAACATTGTCGTCTTTTCTTTTATTGGTCTCATGCTGTAATGTTTTTGTGTTTTGATTATTTGTGATGCTTTAAAAGATGATAGTTGAGGAACACTAAGAGATTAATTTACAAGTTCTCCATGAACGTGTTTGATTAATTGTTGTCGCTAAATTTCTTGTTTACTTATTTGTGATTTGGGTAACACTTCACAATAAGGTACACAGTTTTATTAACTTCTAAGGAACAAATCAGGAACGAATCAGGAGCTAATGGGTAGTTAACCAGTACTTACTGGAGAACACACAGCCCAGCCTTATTAGGGGACTACTGGTTAATTACCTTGTAGATGAAGAGGAACTAACCAACTAATGGGTACTTACCAAGGAAGGCAAAGAGGAATGAATCAGGAGGTAAAGGTAACCAGTACTTACTGGAGAACATACAGCCAAGCCTTACTGGTTAGTTACCACAGAAACAGAGGAGATATTCTCCATGTGGGTTCTGAATAAACCCTGCACCAGTGAGGTCACAGCTCATAATTGTCAAAAACCTGTTTCCTAGTGATTACTGGTTTTATTTGATTCTTACCACTGATTAGCAATTTCATAATCTTGTACTGGTGTCATCTTATCTATGTCTGACTATCACTTACTGAGCACCAAATCATTGCCTGGCTATTATTTTGTTCACTGATGTAGTGAAGCAGGAACCAATCATTACTTAATCACTATCTGACCATTACCTACTGGTTTGTTCCTGTGGTAACAAACCAGTACTCCCCTAATAAGGCTTGGCTGTGTGTTTCCCAGTCAGTACTTGTTAACTACCCATTAGCTCCTGATTCATTCCACTTTGGTTTCTTTGGTAACTACCTATTAGTTCTTGATTAGTTCTTCATTTACAAGGTAACAAACCAGTAGTCCCTTAATAAGGCTTGGCTGTGTATTCCCCAGTAAGTACTGGTTAACTACCCGTTAGCTCCTGATTTGTTCCTGATTCGTTCCTGAAGCGTTCCCTAGTAGTTCATCAAATTTTGTGTGCCTTATTGTAAAGTGTTACTGTGATTTGTCACTTTTGTCATCTTGGACACAATCCACCCATCACAGAAGTAAGACACATTTCTACGTTTGTTTACCAGTTGGTGGTCGTGTACGTCTTGCATCGTGTTTATATCGTAAAGTAACATCTTTATGTACAAACTACTTCTGTTTTTGTTGACTTGTTTTTATTTTATTTTTAATTCGCTGTATTTTATTAATGGATTGTGTACTTTTTATTACTTTGCACATGATGTTTAGGAGAGAAATAACAAACACGTGTAAAATAAATCAAACTTGAGTTTATCAGGCTGAATGAACAAGTAGTAAATGTATTTCTGGTGTTTTATTTGTAGGAGTGTGAGTATGGACGACATGGGTAACGAGGAAGAGGTGGGACACTTACCGTCCCTGAGCCAGACCCGATATGAGCGCATGCACGAGCAGTACAACAGCTTTCTGGAAGAGGAGGACCACTGGCAGAATGTAAGGGACCTTGGGGGCTGAGACGGAATGAGGCATGCTTAGGGATCGTTTTACTAACGGAGCTTTGAACATTTGGCAGGACCTGGCTCGCTGGAAGAACCGCCGCCGCAGCGCATCGCAGGAGTTGATCAAAAAAGAGGAGGAGAGGAAGAGAATGGAGAAAAAGATGAAGGATGAAGGGAGTGATGGCAATAAGAGGAAGAGCATTAAGACCTACAAAGAGATTGTGGAGGAAAAGTAAGGATGAGGCTACTTTTGGTGTTTTTAACTTGAGATAAACCTATTTGGAGCATTTGATAACTGTAGCTCAAACGTAAAGGATATTTCTGTTTTCTGTCGCTCCTATCTTCCAGGGAGCGCAGAGAAGCTGAGCTGTGTAAAGCCTACAGGAACGCATCAACTCCGGAGGAAGCAGCACTGGTTTTACAGCGTTACGCTCTCCGCTTCACCATTAGTGACGCAACCCTTGACAGCCTCAAACTGCCCAGGTCCACCTCAAAACCCAAACAGGACCCAAACCAGGCAGAGCAGGAGCACAATCTCACCTCGGCTGATAACAGCTCGGAGGTGCTGGAACACCTGCACACACCTGATTCAGCTGTTACAATTAACCAGAAACACACCAAACTGGAAGACATGACGACAAATCCAACCCATGAATCAGAGAAATCCAGTGCCAGCTCCACACCAGTCAGTCCCCTTTTGGTGGAAACAAACTCAGTAAATATGCCTCCTGAGTCGATGCATCAGGAAATTCAGCTGACAATGTCGTCACCTGTACAACAAGCAGCTACAAAAGATGCACAACCCCAGATCAAAGACCCCTCACCTCAGAAGGCACAAGCACAGCTGGAACCTGAACATACCATCCCCTTCCCTCCATCTGCACCCTCTAGACCCCTGCCCTTGCTGGTAGCCAAGCCCTACTGCCAACCCAGGAGCACACCCTCTGGACACAAACCAGTCAAGGTAAAGATCCACGTCAGTTGGTCAAACCCATCCTTACAGTTCATTTTTACATGTTTCACTTCACATTTACTGAGACCTGAAAAGAGAAAAGAACAACATGAAGATGCATAATACAAATACAGTAGTCCCTCGATTATTGTGGGGGTTACGTTCCATACACCACCATGATAGGTGAAAAACCAAAAAGTAGGAACACTATATTTATTTGAGTATTTGTATATACCTGTATATTAGGGCTTTATAAACCCTGCCTACTATTCAAAAAGGGGGACCGTAGAGTGTGTTCCAACTACAGGGGGATCACAGTTTTAAGCCTCCCCGGTAAGGTCTATTCAGGGGTTCTGGAGAGGAGGGACCGTCAGATAGTCGAACCTCAAATTCAGGAGGAGCAGTGCGGTTTTCGACCTGGTTGTGGAATACTCCGGGAGTATGGGGTACCAGGCCCTTTGATACAGGCTGTTAGGTTTCTGTACGATAGGTGTCAGAGCTTGGTCCGCATTGCTGGCAGTAAGTCGGGCTCGTTCCCAGTGAGAGTTGGACTCCGCCAAGGTTGCCCTTTGTCACCAATTCTGTTCATAACTTTTATGGACAGAATTTCTAGTCGCAGCCAAGGTGTTGAGGGGATCTGTTTTGGTGGCCTTAGGATCGCTTCTCTGTTTTTTACAGATGATGTGGTCCTATTGGCTTCATCAGGTCGTGATCTACAGCTTTCGCTGGAGCGGTTTGCAGCCGAGTGTGACGCGGCTGGGATGAGGATCAGTTCCTCCAAATCCGAGGCCATGGTCTTGAGCCAGAAAAGGATAGAGTGCCCTCTCCGGGTCGGGGAGGAGGTCCTGCCCCAAGTGGAGGAGTTCAAGTATCTTGGGGTCTTGTTCACGAATGATGGAACAATGGAGCGTGAGATCGATAGGCGGATAGGTGCAGCGTCAGCAGTGAAGTGGGCGCTGTACTGGTCTGTCGTGGTGAAGAGAGAGCTGAGTCATAAGGCGAAGCTCTCAATTTACCGGTCGATCTACGTTCCTACCTTCATCTATGGTCATGAGCTTTTGGTTGTGACCGAAAGAACGAGATTGCGGATACAGGCAGCCGAAATGAGTTTTCTCAGTAGGGTGTCTGGGCTCTCCCTCAGAGATAGGGTGAGAAGCTCGGTCATCCGGGAGGGACTCAGAGTACAGCTGCTGCTTCTCCACATCGAGAGGAGCCATTTGAGGTGGCTCGGGCATCTGGTTAGGATGCCTCCTGGATGCCTCCCTGGTGAGGTGTTCCAGGCACTTCCCACCGGGAGGAGACCCAGAGGAAGACCCAGGACATGCTGGAGGGACTATGTTTCTCGGCTGGCCTGGGAACGCCTCGGGATTCCCCTGGAGGAGCTGACCCAAGTGGCTGGAGAGAGGGAAGTCTGGGCCTCCCTACTTAGGCGTTTACCCCCGCGACCTGACCTCGGATAAGCGGAAGAGAATGGATGGATGGAAACCCTTCCCACACTCTTGCAGTGTTCTAAACTCTTAAACCTACGTCATTTTAACAACATATATATATGTACTGTACAGTACTGCAAAATTTTACTCACCAGCTCATCAGATCAGCAGCTCGTTCCGGTCGGGCTCAGTTCAGGTTCTGCAGACCTACCTTACAGTGACGAAGCCCACCGCCCCGTCCAGGTTGATGTGTGTGTAGATGAACAGATGCTGAGATATATTCATACATTAAACGGGTTCTTCATTTTTCTGGACTGAATAAAACGTGCATTGAATTTAACAAAAATGTAACGAGAGACGTTATTTATCTTTGACCCATCAAAATGAATGCGGTCATTTATTTACAGAATCAAAGATTAACATCAAACATTTACATTAATTTGGCAAATTATGGAAATAACAACATAATCAATCAATCAGGAAAACCATACGGCCATGATTTTCCGTTGCTTCACCACAGACATTAATGAAAACATCTGGATTAATTTTCTAGCAGAAAGGAGAGTTTGAAGATGGAAAATTGAGATTTATCTTACAGAGAGATGTGTGAGGGAATTTATCTGTTTTAACCAGAACAGCACGCTCTTTGGAAATCAGCTTGTCCCAAACGGTACACTTTTGGGTGAAGGTCGACTTTACCTTTCTGAAGATAGATCAGGTCGGCGTGAAGTCCTACTTCCAACCACTTTCAGCGTCTCCGTTGAGAACAGCTAAAATACCTCGAGAGTCGTGCGAGGTTATCCAAACAGAAGTTATAATTCCCAAAATCGTCTCTGGTTCAGCTTGTTTGGTCTAGCAGCATCCATGAACTCCCAAACGCTCTGCATTCTGGATTCCAAGAACTCTGAACTCTTCTGGAACTCTCTGTGAACTCTCAAAACTCTCAAAACTCTTCCATCCTCAACTCCACTGTTGAACTGGGAAGTTGCCACATTTAAACGGGGTATACTTCCGGTTCATTTGAGAGCTTTCTGATTCGTGGATGGACCAGAACAGAGGTGTGGTTTGTGATGTAAGGTGTTATGGAAAGTCAAGGATTGTTTAAGAACAGACAGAAAGATATCATGGAAAAACCAGACTTCGTGGAGCCACCTCTCCTGTATCTTGCTGTAAAAGTTAAACATGACATTTCTTTTCAGTAAACTTTTTAGTTGACCGAAGCTCGAACTTTAACACACTTACAAATTTGCTCATTGAAGACAGAAAAATCAAGAAATGCATATTACCCTGATTTCTTCTTTGAATGAGGAATAAAAATCATTACTACTGTTTAAGTAAATAAAAATGAGTAGTTCACTTCAACCTGTAAACATTGTTTGAACTAACACAATTTGATTATCAAACATTTGTAAAATAGTAATGATCATAGAGAATTGTCTTTTCCACTTGATTAATTCAAGAAAGAAAGTCTCAGGATCGATCAACCTGTATTTCTAGATGCAGATCAATGAAATGACAGTTTCTGACCATATGATCCTAAGGTCATTGATTTGACATCAGGTCAAGTTCACTACATGTGCGTAGATAATTGAGCTTCAGGATTATTTGCGACTTTCTTACTAGTTTTGAGTTTAATAGATAGATTGTTACTTCTTTCCCTTCATTTTGGCAGAAAGCAGCGGTCTGAAGCACTGTTGGCTTCTGGGTAGTGTAGTTCTTTTAACTGGCCTTACAGTGTAGGCTTACTGAAAGACAACTACAAAATGGTGGCGCCTGTCCAAAGTATTTTTTCATTAACTTTTTATCCGGTACCGTCCCAATCATGTGAGTAATATTAAGGTTGACAATCATGTGTCGTGTTTAATCTTACGTTGAAAAACCACAAAAGAGAGAGTTTGCATAAATCAAACCGCAAAGTAGCGAAGGACTACTGTAGTGTTACTTTTCTGCCATGGACAGTTAATTTATGAATAAAAGTTTGACCTTCTTTTTTTACATCTAAACAGATGTATTTGGGAGTTGTTGTTTTGTTTTGTTTGTTTTTCTAATTGTATTCATGTAGCCCTTTCTTAACAGATTGATTTTGTCTGTATTGTGTAATTTGTTTAAAAGGGTTAGGGACAATTAAACTTCATGTTAATCCTCCCAGAACAAATCCATCCATCCATCCATTTTCTTTACCCGCTTATTCCATTTTGGGTCACGGGGGTCGCTGGTGCCCATGTCCAGCAATCACTGTGCGAGGGGCGGGGTACACCCTGGACGGGTCGCAAGTCCATCACAGGGCCACATAGAGACAAACGAGACAAACAACCATTCACTCTCTCACTCACACCTAGGGACATTTTAGAGTTACCAATCAGCCTAACATGCATGTTTTTGGTCTGTGGGAGGAAACCGGAGTACCCGGAGAAAACCCGTGCATGCACGGAGAGAACATGCAAACTCCACCCAGAAGGGCCCCTGGACCGGGGTTTGAACCAGGGACCTGCTCGCTGAGAGGCAGCAGCTCTACCAGTTGCTCCCAGAACAAATATATTTCCTAAATATTTGTTTCACTTTAAAAACTATAAAGTTCTCCAGAAAATATAAGAATAGTTTACATCTGATAAATGCTAAATGAGTGTTAAAATTAACGCCTTATTTCTGTCTGTATGTTGTTCAGCTGGACGGGTTGGTGCGGGTAATGGGCGAGACGACAGAGAATTTCCCTTCACCTCAGGACACACTGCAGGAAAACAAAGATGTTTCCTCCGACCAGACGGAGAAAAATGCTCCTGCTGAGGAAGCTGTGGAAAATCCAAACACAACAGAGCAGCCAGCACCTCTGCAACCAGAGAAGTCAACATCGTTTTCAGGCTCTGCCATCAGCTCGCTGATCGGAGGCCGCAACTGTATCATCACAACAACTATTGTGACTGAACTCACTCAGACCCGCATAGAGCCACTTCATCTAGACCTCCAGAGCAAAGGACAGGTAATATCAATGGAAATTTATCTTTAAAACACATTTAAAACTATGCAAATTGGACCAATGTGCTGTAAAATAAATTAAGCAAACCAAAAATAATTACATTAATTTAATAACAGAACCAAACAGATGCAGGTTTTTGGAAATTTACAGCTTTTTAACATCATAATTTAAGTATTTAATAATAATTTTAAAAAAAGGCAGTTATTAGTCAACTGTCTCAATTGAATGAAACAGTTCTTATTAAGTATCCTGTTCTTATTAAGCCTTTTGAAATAGCAAACTACTTCAATAATTAATACCTAGGAAAATTAACTAGAATCAGAGATGAGATGCCCATAGTGAGTGGTAAATCGTCACATGAAATTATTAAAAATCAAATAATGAAGGATAAAAACTGCCAGTTTAAGCGTATAAATGGAAAAGTTGCTTGTGACAATTAATAGTGATGAACCTTGTGGAGTCAACGATTTAGATGGAAGGCTTCTTAAGATCTCATCAAGTATCTTAATAACTAAGTCTGTATGTCATATGTTTAATTTGTGTTTTAATGAAAGTGTTTATCCAGATTTGTGGAAAATTTCAAGTTTTTCTATTGTCTAAATATCCTAAAGAACCACTGACGGGTCAAAATAGCCGGCACATAAGCGTCCTACCTGTGTGGAGTAAGTTGTTGGAATGAGTGGTGATTAAACATATTTAACACTATTTTGATGTAAATTGTAAACTTTTGGATGTTCAGCATGCTTATAAAGATGGTTACATCTACAGCACTGGCAGCTCTTATTGATGGCTGGTTAAGACTGATAGAAAACAATTGGTGTTGTGATTCTTGCTTTTAGTGCAGGCTTTGATAGTGTTGATCTTTTACTTGTGTAGCGATCAGCTTATGGTTTAAAAAAAATGAGCCATCAACTTCATGTGCAGTTACCTCAGTAACAAAGCATTATGTTTAATGGTATCAGTTCAAACTTTGTAACCCTTCTATGTGGAATTCCACAAGGCAGCTACCTTGGTCCTCTGCTTTATAGTATTTTTTGTAAATGATATGCCGTATGTATTGAGTAAGGCATTCATATATGCAGATGATATAACTATATATGTCACTTCTGATGGTTAGGATTGGATAAATAAGGTGCTACAACAAGAACTACTGGTATATTTGGTGGGTGGTTGAGAACCAGTTTAAACTGAATGTATCATAAACAAAGTATGGTGTTGGACTCTAAACATTATGTTAGACTAACTCAAATGTTGCGTATTACTATTTCTTTACATGGACAATCAATAGAAAAGTTAAAGAGGACAAACTATATACAATACTATCATGGTCCACACATATACATTAGATTGTGACTAAAATGAGTACTAGTAGAAACATCTCAGTAATTTGGTGCAATGTCCGTTTTATGTCTCCTGAAATAAGAAAATTAGTCTTAGTTTTAAGTCCTGTGTCACCTTGACTACTGTCCAGCTGTTTGGTTTAGTGCTTCAAAACAGATCTGGATAAACTGCAGATGGTTCAAAATAAAGCTGCAAGTTTAGCACTTGGCTGTTATTTTAGAGCTAATGTTAACATCATGCATCAAAGCCTGTCATGGATGTAGGTCAGTGACAGACTAGCATGCAGCCTTCTTTTCATTTAACATAAAATTTGGATTTTACATAAACATTTTAACCTTTTCTCACAATTATTACTCACCTCTAACAGACATGGTTTTAATGCTAGACTTGTTACTTTTACACTACCTCTGCCCAGAATTAATGCCTTCAGATAAACAACAATATACAGAGCCATTTCATACTGGGATATGGTGCCCTCTGAGATAACATTGATTGGGGATCAAGATAGTAAAAAAACAAAAAAACTTAAAAGATCTACCGTTATAATACATAATGAATTAGATAGCTTCAATAGCTTCAAATATTAATAAATTGAATAGATTAGTCAATCTATGACTGAAATGTAAATTGTGATTTTCTCTCTTTTTTTGACACTTTTTAAAAATTATTTTAGTCAGCACAAGTTGTGTCTTGGCTTTATATTTGTGAAATTTTGAGTTGTAATGAATGTAACATTTGTGTATTGTAATGCTTGTGGGTGTGGACCACAGGAAAAATAGTTTTTACTATGGTAAATATTATGGGGATTTAAAAACACACACAAAAAAACAAAGTCCTCTACGAATATTTAGGTACAGAATGACAATGGAAGTTCACTTTTTTTTTTTTTACCTCAAACTAACTTTAATCCTGTTTCTCTGTGAGTATTGTTGTATGTAAAGCAGGTTTCTGGTTTCCACTGGTACATTTTAATACACATTTACATGAGGAGAACACAGCAACAGCCTGAACCACACATTTCAATGGTCAGCAGAATAGTTAGCAAGCATTTTTAGTGTTATGGCATTTTCATTCGATTCAGCTAGAATGTTAAAACAAACATTTTCAGAGAAGGCATGTTTTAGAAAATCTCTAGGGACAAAATAAAGAGAGGTTGGTTTTAAGATTTTTTGTTTTGTTTGTTTCTTGATTTGAAAATTCAACCCTTAGGATGGAAAAGCCGGTTTGTTTGATAGACCATCGGAGGAGATAAGTGCTCAGCCTGCTCCATCACCCAGCAGTAATGAAGAATGTTCTCCCACTGTCACAGGTAAAACTGAGACATTTCACTGGCAGCACCTTCTTTTCTTGTCGATGTTAGTTCCCTTTTTCTTTTAGCAACAATAGGGTGGTTTATGAAGCATCCACACTGTTGTGATCCATTTTTCTTCAATATGTTTTTCTGTGCGATTTTCATTCCACAATTTTTATGCTATTTCAACAAATCGTAAATCAAAGCGTTCAGCTCTTTCAGGACAATCATGCTATGACTTTTGGCATTGGTGCAACTTTAGCTTTTTGACATATTTAGCCTTTTCTGACTGACTAGATCTGTTTACAACCCTTTCTGTTTTAGCTTCTTTCAGCTAAGTTTAGCTGTTTTTTTCAGCTGTTTTGTACTCTTTTTCAGATCCTCTCTGCTATCTATAACATTATTGCTTCTTCTAACTTATTTCTTCTAGTTTCAGCTTGTTATGCCATTTTCAGTTTATTTATGCAAGTTTCAGCTTTTTCTGCTATTTCAGCACTTTTTAGCTGTTTTTATACAAATTTTAGCTTTTTCAGCTAATTCCATGTTTTTTTTGCAACCATTTCAACTTTTTTCAGCCCAGTTCATCAGAAAAGTGCTCTCTCTACTTCTTATAATTTCAGCTTATTTCTGCTTTTTTAGCTACCGGTACTTTTCAGCTGCTTTTTGCCAATTTCAGCATTTTCAGATAATTTCCACTTTTTTGTGCTTATCGCTGCTTCTTTCAGCCTAGTTGGGCAAACATGTGTTCCTTCTGCGTCCTTCTGCAAATTTAAGCTTGTTCTAACTTTTCAGCTAGCTTTTTCACAGATTTTTAGCTAATTTTAGTTTTTTCAAATAAAGTCAAGTTTTTCGTGGTAATTTCTGCTACTTTCAGACTAGCTAACTTCTGTATGCTAATTTTAGCTTGTTATGCTCCTTTGAGCTTTTTTGTTGCTAGTTTCAGCTTTTTCTGCTATTTCAGCTATTATTTAGCTGTTTTATGCTAATTTTAGCTTATTCAGCTAATTCCACATTTTAGCTCATTTCAGCTCTTTCAGCTTCCTTCTGGTAATTTAGGCTTTTTTCTGCCTTTTCAGCTACTTTTCAGCAATTTTTTGTTGCCTTTTCAGCTACTTTTCAGCAATTTTTGTTGCTAATTTAAGCTTTTTTAGCTAAATTACTAATTTCTGTGCTTATTTCTGCTTATTTAAACCTAATTCAGCAAAAAAAAAAAGGTGTTCTTTCTGCTTAGTTTTGCTAATTTGGACTGGTTCTTCCATTTCAGCTACAATTCAGCATCCTTTTTTAAGCTAATTTCAGCAGTTTTTCTGCAAGTTCTTCAGCAAAAAACGCTCACACTGCATTTTCGCAGGAAACAGTTTCTCTAGTTATTTTTCTGTTCTGCTTCACAGAAGGACTCGAGGAGAGCAGCGTGACCGTAAGTATCTCTGAGAAACGGCAGCTCCTTCTTACTGTTCCTCCTTCATCTTTAAATGTGACCCTGTCCTGACCCTCTGTCTCCAGTGGTCACTGTAGTTGTTGTAGTCAGACTGGTGTCCTCAACTTTCCTCTTTCTGTCCTTTTGATCCGTATATGTGTGTTTGTATGGATGTGTGTGTATGATTGTCGGTCGGATCTGGGTAGATTGAGACCCCCATGTTAAACTTGGCTAAACGTGTTAATCACTGGGTCTGGGACCCCGATGAGGAGCGTAAACGCGTGGAAAGGTGGCAACAGGAACAGGAACGCCTCCTCCAGGTACTGTGGTGTAACGGTGTGTGTATGTGCATGGTGCTGCAGCTGGTTCGGAGAGAACCGGTGGCACACGCTGAACTGGATGTCCCGATAAATGTGGTCCTTCATTTGTGTTCATCTTGTGTGGGCTCCGGTTCATGCGGTACTGAACATCAGTCGTCTTTCTCATCAGGAACAATACCAGAGAGAGCAGGAGAAGCTGAAGAAAGAGTGGGAGAAGGCACAGCTGGAGGTGGAGGAGGAGGAGAGGAAACACAACGAAGAGGTAGAAACATGACTGAAAGTAAAAAAGAAAAAAAAAAAGGGTTGTTTCCTTGTCTTTGTTCATCTTTTTTGTTGCTCAGGAGAGACGAATTCTTGAGGAGACTGTCACCCCCCTCAGTCCGTCTGGCTTGGCGCACCAGCAGTCAGGACACACGAGGACAGCTTCATCTGGAAACGACAACACGGGGGGAGACATGTCTCTGCAGCAAAATGGTCAGAAAGTGTCAGCAGGCAGCGAGGATCAGCACGCGTCTAAACTACATTTTTTTCAGGGTGAGTCTGAAGTGAGCAGATAGTCATCGATGTGCAGAAGTGGTTCTCATTTTGGTTGTTGATAGAAGAACATCAGACATTAATTTATGGTATGTATCTGCAGATTCTTCTTGTGAAGGAGAACCTTCAAAAAAACAGGAACTGTGGAAAACAGCATCTCTGGACCGCAATCCACAGCTGACCCATACGGACAGTGTTAAAAGGTCTGTGTTTAAGTAAAGGAGTACTTCAGATCTTTTGAAGTGGTGTTCTGTGGAAAGGTTATTCACAAACTCCCTATCAAACTAGGAGTGCGCGATATCTACGGTACACGGTAGAAACGATAGACATGATGGAGATCTGCATTCTACTGATTAACTGCAGAAATGCTGTGTCAGATGTAAAATCAGAGTTGTCAGATTTAATCGTTACTTTTTTTGTTGTAAACTGCGCGTAAGTGGCGTTAAAGTCTTTTCTTTGAGAGCTAAGTATCGAAGCTACAAGCTAACTACGACCGGCTTGCCGTAGTGTTGTTGTATTCGGACACATGTGCAAAACGCTGAGTTCTGTCAAAAGTTTATTTTTTCCTGTCGAAAGTTAAAGTAAGCGTTGGTCAGCTTTAGAGAAACCTGCTCTCTGATCTGTAAAAGAACACTGTGTTGTGTGATTTTACTGTGAGACCCTCTGGTCAAAGCCACAGAGGAAACTGGTCGCCATTTTGTGTCAGCTCTTCTTAAAGCGGAAGGAGACACCCACTAGAGGGTTGGAGGGTGAAGTGTTTTCAGTGTAAAATGCTGCTCTGTTGCTGTTCATTTCTGAAGTGAGACGACTGGAAACTGTTAAGAGTTAACAACATATTATTTTGTTTAAAACATATGGCTAAAACCACATTTGATATCTTTTGCACTGTTTTGCACTACAAGAAAGAAGCCTAATACTTGATTTGTTAATTATTTAAAAACTTTCTGGACCTAGTAGTGGAATTTTCTTAACTGAGATTATTTTGTGGTGTAGCAGTTTTCAAAATAAATAATGGCAAAGGGACACCCTATGCTTTTTTTTCATTCCTATTGCAAGTTTTATACCAAAAACATATTGTGATAAATATCGTTATCGCCACCTTTCACAATACATATTGTGATATGAATTTTATGCCATATCGCACATCCCTATATCAAACCAAAGTGCCTATCTTACCTGTTACATATAGGAAACATCCAATGAAAAGCCAAGAGGTGGCCACGTTAAGCCATGGTCGTGTTTGAGCTGAAGGAGCTGGGCATTTTTATAACATTTCTTCCTCACATTGAAGTAACTTGAGTCTAATTAGGCTGACGAACTAACAAGTCCAAGCTAATAGCAAAGTGGATTAAAGTCGTTCCTAAAACTTTACTGTAAGAAAATTCTAAACGGTTCATGCAAGCCTTATTTTATAAACCTTTACATGGCTGTCAGTTGAGACTGGAGATATTTTAAAACAGAACTAATCATCTACAGCATGTAAGATACTAATTGTTCGTAACCTTTTCATAGAATCCTTTAAATTTGATTTAAAAATATGTCACAATTTTAATGTGAACTGAATGTTTTATGTTTATCTGGATGACTTCGCCTTTACGTTTCACAGCTCTTTGTACAGAGAGGGTCTGTTACCACATTCCAGCTGTGAATCGTCAGAAACATCTGTTAAATCTTTACATTCAGTTGTACAAAATGTACTTTTATAAAAAAGCCCAAAAGTGCTTTTTATAAACAATCACAAAGTTGTTTTATTTTCTGTGCTGTATGTCTGAATCGAACAGTGTTTTCTTAGCCAACATATTTTTTGCACCTCAGATCGGAGTCGCACGATGCTGTGACAAGCAAACAGCCCTCCTCCCCTCCAACTCCCCAGCCTCCGTCACCCAGCAGGTAGCCGTTCTAGCACACATGCACAGAAAGAATGCCAGATATGAATAGATATAATAATGTGGGAGGGCAGAACTTTGGTCTGAACACTGTTTTCCTCCTGCCTTTGTGTAGGTGTGTTAGCGGGAGGCGGCTGTGTTCGGGCTGTGCTAAGCCTCTGGGGAAAGGAGCTGCTATGATCATCGACACACTGGGCCTGTTCTTCCACATACAGTGTTTTAAGGTACCATTGCATGTTTTTGTTGAGTGATCATAATTAGCAGTATTTAATGAATCTGTGCAACGTTTTAGTGAAGCCTCTTTTGTTTTTACTCCCTCCCAGTGTGGATCTTGCAGCAGGCAGATGGGTGATGCTACTGCAGGGACTGATGTACGGATTCGCAACGGGCAGCTGAGCTGTTATGAGTGCTACATCGCATCTCGGGGTGAGAAGCATTCACCATTTTCAACACATTCACCCATAGTCTAGGGCAGTCCTTCTCAAATAGTGGGGCGATGCCAGTGGAGGCGCATGTGACCCCGGAGAACATGCTTTATTCCCCCCCCACCATTGTCATTTTGTCGCGGCGTTCTGGCAGCTGTTTGCTCGTATCTCTCAGTTTTACTAATAATAAAGTTACGAACAAATATGGCTGCCTTGTTGTTTTGGGAGCCATGCATGAACCGTGTCACTCCCCTCTGCTGCTGAGACGATGAATAAAAATCTCCGACACCTCCGCCGCTGTTTTTATGACGCTCTGGACGTCACCCACAGCGCGCATGCAACAAAGAGTAAACTCAAAGCGAGAGCGACACCTGCCCCCTTTTTCCTCTTTCGCGTTGACAAAATGTTTTAGTTTTATCGATGAGAGTGCTCATTGATCCTGACTTCCTCGAATTTATTATTATTTATTGATTATATTTAATTGTATTTTTCAGTATCAAATGGTCAAAAATGTTTACAGTTTAAATAAGGATTTAAGTTTTTTTTTTTCAGGCAAATTGATGCACTTTAAGTTGTTTCTACAGACTAAAACAATGTTAATAAAATTATTCTTTGTTGTAAGTTGATCTATTTTCTTTTTTTTTTCTTTAATGTTAACAAGGACACAATGTTATGCAGAGGTGTACTTATAACAATTTTATAAACAAATGATACTGTTTACAGTCGCAGCGGAGAGTTGGGGGGGGCGCGAATTGTTTATGTCTTCC